CTGCAAGAGACAGTAACAAGTTATTTCATGACTCACTAGTGGTGGCTTCACTGAGCCACTTTCTCATGCCTGGAGCCACCCAGCAATACAGCCTGGGATGTTTCCCTTACATTGCTTTCAGCTAACTGCAAGAGAGTCAAGTGTATGTGCAATGTGCATCTCTTGAACGCAGAAGCAATATTCAGTCATTGAGGTTTGCATTCCTCCTCCAGCCACTTCTCCAAACTGTTGGGATGACAGCTGTGTCAATCTGTTATTTCCTCATATAGTATCATATTTAAAATCTACTTGCAGATTAGCACAGGACATAGAAACGATTTTCTAGCAGGAACAGCTGATTTTTTGTGAGTCCTAATACAAATTTTAGCCAGAGAGGAAAAACAAAACCAACCTTTGAAAATGCTGGAATCTGGTCCACAAAACTTGCATTGAATCTGTGGTTCTTTTATTTAGAGTTGAAGAGGGTGGAGTAGTAAAAAGCAGGAAAGCAATTTTTTCCTTCCGAATACAAGAAAAAAAAACAACTTGTTTGTTTGTTCCTTCCCTCAATAGTTGCAGTTTGAAACAAGTCAAAAAATGCCACTAGCGCTGACACACCCCTCGTCCACCTTCAACAGATGAAAAGAAAAGCCTTTATTTCCCTTTCTGCACTTGGCTTCTCTTTGCCTGTGGCACCCCAGAGCTCCCTGGGGTGTTCTTCAGCGTGAGGGCAAGGCCTGCTGGCCTCTTCACCCTTTCAAAACTGAAGCATTCCACTTTGTCTTCACCAGAGACTGTCCTGGTGCTTATGAGGCGAAATCCGTCTTTGAGTAAAGTGTCAAGTAGCAGGCCTAGCACGTTTGTACCGTTAATCAGCTTTCTATTATCTGGCTTTATGGAAACATACCTAAAATGAGGAAAAAAAAGCAGTTACAACACACTTCAGTGACTTCCTGAAGGATGGAATAGATCTTTTTTAAAAACCAAGGCGGGCCTCAGACGGTGCAGGTCAGCAGAGCTGCATGAGTTTACAGCAACCAAGGTTCCGCAAAGTTTTTTCCTCCTTTGAGGATAATTTGACTCTTCCCCTCATTATTAGAACAGTAATTCCCAGCTCATCCAGTTACATGTTGGGGAAGAAGCACTTCTCTTTCACCCCCATCCCAAAACTTACTTACTTAAGAGATAGCTGTGATTGATTGATAACCTCCACCTCATTTCATTTATGTAATGCTCTACATCATGCCACAACAGTTTTTCAGGTATGGGTAGATGATGGGAAGGACAGTAAAGTCACATTCATCCCAACAGCATCACTTTTCATTACACAGGATTTGTCTCTACAGTGACATTTATTGCAAAGTTACCTTGTACAGCAAGTCTTGTGGTAACAAATATGAAAATCATTTTCACATTGCCTCAAATGATTTTACTTTATATAAAGTACAGTTTAAGAATCTATCCAGACATTGTGAGGAACAGAAGTCAGGTAAAAATACTATTACAAAATACGTAAGCTGACAAGGGTGAAACTCTTCCACGGGTCAGAGGAAAGTACAACAAATTATCACAGAAAGCACAAAAAAGGCAAAAGAGTCTGTGTCACCACAAAGAGTAAGTCAATAGAAATTCAGTAGGCAACATAATCAAACTCAACTTGTTTCATTACTCAAGATTCTGCAGAGGCATATTTTTACCAAGTCTAAAAAAATGAAGGGAAGAACCAAGAATATTTTCCCCTATTTAAATTGCCATAACCTACTCAACCAATTGTTAGTCCATTAAAATGAGTAATGCATTATAAAGTTAAGGTTTGGCACAAAAATGTATGTTGCTTCGCAAATGCAATGTAGTTTTTCTTCTACTTGCTTAGCTAAAGGAAGCTAGAATATAAACTTCACTATAAATCAAGAGACTGCTGTGTTGATTCACATATGCAGATAGAATAACCCTTTTGGAAATATTTCAATAAAATTTCCATAAAATTCCAGATGTTCTAACAGCCACAGAGGACAAATTAGGTTACATTTTCTTATACAGTAAGAACATGTCTCCATAAAATAGAGGCATCCAGCAAAAGCTTGTTTAAAAAATTTAAGTTGTCATTAGAATACAATACTGCTATCACAAAAATCACTGATATACAGTAATCTTAATAAAAACAGAACCTGGCTCTTGAATTGAACGAAAAGCCACTGTGTAGCACAGAGTTAATAATCTGCCCCTTCTCCCGTCCCCTAGTAAAAGGTTCTAGAAAAGCTTACAGATCCAAAATTGGTATCTTAGTTCCACTGATGTCTTTAACCCTGTTCAGCTGTTCTCTTTTTCCTCTTTTCCATATGAAAGTCTGTTGGACCATAAGCTAAGTAGAGATTTTAGGCTTCCCCCGTACTTCACTCCTTATTTATTTTGTTTGCTTTGTTTGATTTTACTCTTTGTTTTTCAAGTCCTCTAGAAGGTCACTGATGCCATGGAATTCTAAAGCCTGGGAGAGAGAATTAGAAGGGAAGGGCAGAGGGAGAGAAAGACCCAAGCAAACTCAAACCCAAACATCGAGATCAGCATTTTAGAAAGCTGAAGAATAGGCAAATCCATGTAGCAAATTAAACTGAGTATTTCAGAACTAGAAAAAGATTACATTAAACTAGCAGAAAGAAAGAAACTTATTTATTTTCTCTCAGAAAGCTGTCTGATAGCTACTTTAAAATGAGCTATGCTAGCATGTAGCATGTACTTTATACACTACAAGTCATAAAGACATCTCCATAATGAGAAGTCACACTAGGGAGAGTACCTCGCCACAAACTGGTCACCAGCGGAGTAGTCAGTACCGCACTGAAAAACCATGTCATGATGAGAAGGTCTTTCCAAAGGAAGCAGAACAAGTGGTTTCTGAGAAGGAAAAGGGCTGTTCCAGCTCTGTCCTGACTGCTGCCCCATGAACACCGAGATCTGTTCAGCTAGTGTCTCAACAGTGGCACTGCAGGAACCAAAGATCCGGAAAAAGGCCTGCATCTCTTGGAGAGAAAAGCGCACTTCCAAGATCTCCAGCTTTGGCTTCAGCAAGTGTTCCTGGCTCAGGAGGTCAGCCAGAGGGTAGAGCCCATAGAATTCTGCTTCCCTCTGCAGCCTCTGATAGTCTGAGAAATCAGTTGGTAAGGAGACCTGGAGAGTCCTCAAGAAGTCCATGATGTAACTAAACAAAGTTCCATCTCTGTCCACAAAAAACTCTCCATTCACCAGTTTAAATTCCTGGTCATCATCATTCAACATCCGTGCCAGCCTGGACTCAGGGAACTGCTGCAAGGTAGAAGCCCTGGTTACAAACCTCACCCCTCCCACACTCAGAACTACCACCTCTCGATTACTCATTGCTAATTCAGCCACTCACAAATCGTAACTCGCTGATCTACGTGTCTGTGACTTGATCTTTCCTAAACTGCAAGGCATCTGCAGCTGCAAGAAACATTCAGTGCTTTTACCAAGTGTTTGGAGTGAGGTGTGGAGCAGCGACAGCATTCCCAGGCAACAAAGATGTAAATATCGTGTACAATAGTTTTGTTTGCAGGGTTTGGTTGCTTGGAAACTTTGATTCTTGGAATTTAATGCTTCATTTTTGAAATGAACGGCTTGCAAAGACTACTGGAAGACAGTGAACTGACCGTCACAACTTATTAAACCTTGAGAGAGGCTAATGAATATCCCCAAAGTATGGCACACTTCATGTTTGTTTCCCAGAAAATTCAACTACATGTTTTCATTCTGTATATTGGTGTTCATAGGACCACTGCAAAAAGAGGTTAGATGCTCTTCAAGCAATACATCTCTAGTATTGTATGCTCTTAAAGAAGGGCACTTCAGAGAACTCAAGCTTACAGTTCACTTATCCCACAGGCAAGTCGATACACTCAGAAAATTCAACTACCTCCTGAAACAAGGTACACAAAAACACAGTAACACTAGAAAAGCCTACGTATGTTCCAATGCTAAAGCACTAACAACATCCATACTCCTGTCACTTTATGCACTCTGTTCCAAGGAATCATCCCATCATTTTTCCTGGCTTTTGGAATGACGATCAGGAGTCAGAGAGGAACAGGAAGGAAACTGCTCTACCTGCCACCTTTGCAGGACTAGAGCGCTAGCGGCTGACCCAGGCATGCCTTTCACCACACTAAACTCAACACATTAAGGCCACTTTTTAAGAAAGTGTGGCTTCAGAGAAACATGGATTTAGTAAGACAGCTCAGTTATCCCTGCAATTTGATGCTGGAAAAGCAGACTGCAAAGTCTGTAGTATCTGAAAAGCATGTACTACCTTGTAGCTTGTTCTTCTCTTAGCAACCTCAACTGATTTCTCTTCACCCTAGAATTTATGCTTGTCCTGAAGATACTTTTTTGTATAGAACATGTAAACAAATAACCTACAGTAATCTGAATGCACAGGATAATCACAACATTTGGTTATACAAAAAAGTACGTGTATATGTTCTCGAGAGAGGTAACATCCTCAAATAGAAAGTGGTTCCAGAATGTGAAGGATGCACGCTGTATCCTGCAGTGTCAGGGCAGTCTGCAGCCAGCCTCTCAGTACAGTGCTCTTCTCAGTCACAACTCTTCTTCCTCTTTCCCAGCCACCTCCCATTTAGGAAAAAACAGTAAGTGTTTTTAACTACAACCTCTGAGGAAGTGACACTTCCTTATTCTACTTATCTTATTCTACAATTAACATTAAACTACATACACAGTTTTGCCCTATATTTTGGTAAGAAGAATGATTTACAGTGAATAATATTCCCATAATCACCACTAAAAGAAGAACCCAAAACTGTGTGTTTTTTGAAGCTCCATTTCATCTTCCAGTTTATCAGCACTCAAACTATGTGAATAGCATGAATGTTTTGGAAACATTTTCAATCTTGGAATGTTTTTACTGGAAGTCTTGAAAACCAAATTAATCTTGAGAAGTTCTATGTTTTCTTCACCAGATCTCTCTTACTTCTTCTATTCCTGCACGGGATTCACAACAGTTTATACTTGCACACAAACTGTGCAACATTATCCAGTACAACCAATGTATAGTTTTTACACTTTTCTCTTAGAAGTGAAGCTCCATCTGTCATCTGTTCCCAGTAAAAGACTGCGTGATCTGCTATCTCCACTGTATCTGCCAAATAGGACAAGTTAATTGCAAAGAATTGAGATCTCCAGCACTGGAGATTGTCAACAACTGACTCTACAAAGGACATCCTGGTGACAGCAAGAATAAGCAAGCAAATAAGAGAATTCACTATAAATCTGCGCGAAAAGACTGAGGGAATCTTGAATTTAGGAGCGTTGTTTTCCTGAGGCAAGGAAAGTTTGTCCACATCAACTAGCTTTATGCCATTCCACTGGCTGGTATCAAAGCTCTTCATTGTAGGGCTGATGTCCACACTGGAACAAGGTAAAGGAGTTTCTTTGAGCACCTTGATTTTTTCCCTGAACTCCTGCATCTGCTGCAGAAATATAATGGGCTCAGACACGTCTTTGAAGGCCTCTGCAATGTTAAAAGCCATCCGCTGCTCCTGCAGAATGGTGTTCAGTTTATTGATTTCCGGGTCGTAGGCCTGCATCACTGCAAGCTTCATGGTCTCAAAGTCAGAGAGAATCTCATTACGCTTCTGCTCCAGTGTGTGCTGCAGCTTCTCAAAGAACTCTTTCACTTTGTCAGAATCTTTGGTCAGCATCTGCAGAGCTTTCCTCTTACTGGTTTCTAAGGTATCCAGCCGCGAGAGGGCATCTCCACAACGCCACGTTTCAAAGCCCTGAAAAAGGGTTTCAAAGGCCCTCTTCTCCTGGGAATAAGCTTCTTCAATAGAACAGAAAACATGCTTTGTATGGTCACCCCGGGTGGCACAAACCCCACAGATCAGCTGCATGTCTGTCCGGCAGAAAATGTTAAGGGGTTGCCCGCTGTGCACTTTGCACACGGGCATTTTCGGAGTTACTTTGATTTTGTTGTACTTCTCCACGATACCTTTCAGGGAATAGTTGACTTGCAAACTGTTGACGCCGGTAACAGGAGTTTCCTTCCTGCACGTGGGGCACTTGAAAGGGGACGGTCTCCAAAGCACATTCCGCACATTTCCCTCAAGAATTCCTTCCAGACACTTTCTGCAGAAATTGTGGGAGCAGGGCAGGACACGAGGATCATCAAACAGGCTACAGCAAATGGGACAGGTGAGATCTTCCTCTAGGAGCTCCATCATATCCTAGGAAAGAGAAGAAAGATGGTAACAGGAACTTAGGAAATTTATTTCTCCTCTGGGGAAACCATGCAAAAACCAATCTCCATCTGAGACACAGCCCAGTAAGAAAAGGATCTACTTTTTTTCTCCAGTACCCCTAAGACAGAGCCTCAGCTGGGGTCTGCAGCCAGCCCAGTTAGCTGTGGTATCTGGCCACCAGATGGCAGGCACAAGAACAGCTCAGTGCGCAGGCAGAACCATTTCTGGACTCCCAACTGGAAATGCTGGAAATAAAAGGCTTGCCAAACCCAGCAAGGACTCTGAATGAAAATAGCTCATGTATTCATAACAACAGTTCAAGACGTACATCTTTCCTCACTGATGCAATACACAGAAACTGGATTTTCACAGAAGATACCCAGCCAACACGCCCTGCTAAGATTTGGTTACACTTTACTTGCTCAGCTCCTCCAAGGCTTACATTTTCAAACCCCATGCAGCACTACTGTAAGAAGGCAATATTAAAAGTGTCTGAAAAAGCCCAACTTCAGAATTTCTTCAGCTACAGAATATGTGATGTGGTTCTGTGCTCTGCCTGCAAAGCCAAAGGCGAGTCACCACGCGATTAAAAAGTTACTTCCCTCTTGCTCCTGCAATATACTTAAATAACCAAGTGAACATGGTATTGTTGAGCTTTTCAGCCCAAAGTTAAAATACTTCCAAGATCAGCTGCCCATAATCACTGATAATTCATCAGGAAACAAAGCTGTTCACCATTGTTACTCATCTGCAATCTCTATTTCCAATTCCATTCTGAAGGCATTCACACCTCAGTAATTTCTTTCTGTGGACAGGACCTACAGGAAGAGGATTTATCATGTAATGCTTTCTACTGGAAAGTCCCAGTGAAGGGACCCAGGGCACTATCCTCACAGTGCCTATAGCCACGTGCTCAGTGGCACACACCTTATAACTTCCAGCATGCTCTAAGAAAACAAATAGCTAATAAAGACCAAAGTAGGTGACAATTTATATTAACCAGAATTCTCAAATACTTAGTTTCAAGCTATAATTAGAAAGTTGCTTCCCTTGCATAAATTATTTCCATATTATGCAATATGTAGTCATATATATGTAATATAGATATGTAATAAAATTCCTTTTATAAATTAAAAAATATCACAAAAAAAGAGCATCAAAGTACTGCTGTGACAGCAAGGCATATGAATGAGCTCTTTTAATCAGTTTTGATGTTACTACTACAGTTTCTGTCCCCTCAAAGAAACATGAAGTGGAAAACATGGGAGCCAAGAGGAGAGCTGCAAGGGAAGATTTATGCTTGTACATGCACAGTACTTGGGAGTACTGGGTACAGTTCTGGTGCCCCCAACATTAAGAAGGACATGGAACTGTTGGAGCAAGTCCAAAGGAGGGCCATAAGGATAAGGGGGCTGGAACACCTCCTGTATGAAGACAGGCTGAGGAAGTTGGGGCTGTTCAGCCTGGAGAAGAGAAGGCTGCGTGGAGACCTCATAGCAGCCTTCCAGTATCTGAAGGGGGCCTACAAGGATGCTGGGGAGGGACTCGTCATTAGGGACTCTAGTGGTAGGACAAGGGGTAATGGCTTTAAACTTAAACAGGGGAGATTCAGGTTAAATATAATGATGAAGTTCTTTACTACGAGGGTGGTGAGGCACTGAACAGGCTGCCCTAAGAAGTGGTAAATGCTCCATCCCTGGCAGTGTTCAAGGCCAGGCTGGACAAAGCCTTGGGCGACATGATCTAGTGGAGGCATTGCTGCCCATGGCAGGGGGTTTGGAACTAGATGATCTTAAGGTCCTTTCCAACCCAAACTATTCTATGCTGCATAGGAGAAGAATAAAATCAATACCAGTGATCCAAGGAAAGATCACTACAGGGAAGAAAAGCAAGGTCAGTTCTGAGTTTCTTTTACAAGAGGACCCATACAGTCACAATGAGACTTCTCAGTAAAAGCCATTCTCAAGGGGTGTAAGCAAACCTCACACGCATTTTCAGTGATGAGGAGGGATATTCCCTTGTTTGAATAAGGAGAGTTTGAAAAAATTGCCAGCTTCTCTACTCAACCTCAGGACTAAGGTCATCGGGCAGAAGCAGCCCAAAGAACCATTACAGCTAAGGACAAAGCCCCAGAGAAAAGCTCTAAGTACTCCATTTACTACCTAAGTTTTCCTGTAAGACCACAGATCCCATTCAGTAAGTTCGCTTTCTGTGAGAGCGTGATTTTGAAGCGCCTCTCAACACCAGAATACGCAACGCTTCTCTTCCATCCTCTTACTACTGCTAAATAGGATGGGATGACAAGAAGACCATGATTTTGCCCTATACTCTTGAGTCTTCCTCTTTACAAATAGCACTTTCTTTCCCACTTGTACTCACAGCATTCAGCCGTGGTAGCAGCAGAGAGATCCATTTGGCTTGTGTTAAGAGGGTAGTAACTACAAATGTCAGTTACTAAAATGTCAGTTCTCTATCATTCAGTAAATGGAAATTCCCATTGCAGGGAACATTTGCTCTGCTCCACCTCCTTTAGCAGGAAGGATTTTACTTCTTAGTTAGGCAGCTGGCAAAGCAGCTCTGCATGCCTGACAGTGAGGACTGCAAACCACTGCAGAAACGCTTACTACAACACGTCCCATTAAAACTGCCGGACAAATGCTGAAGACTTTCATGCTCCTAAAAATACAAAAAAAGATACACCAAAAGGTTTCAGGATCCAAATAAAACTGTCCTGTTTCATTCCAACCCCGCTTATCCAATTAAATAATTATGCTTTATAAATATAACTGAACTTCAAAACCATTACATGACATCATTAAAACCCTTGGATTTTAAAAAAGGAAATGGGCAAGTCTACAAGGTTTTTTTTTTCCCCTCTTACAACACCACTAACACCAAACCAACACCACTGAAAACTTGTACGACTGGTTGGGGCAGCTGAACTTCCTCTTCGTTAGGACATTAATTTCAGCGAGTAAGTCGCCTGTGGATTGAAACATCCCTTTGTATTAGCAACCTGGTATTTGCATGAGGAACTACTGTAACATTTCAACTTCTCCACTGGGAGTGTCTCTGTGTAACTTCTGATCCAGGTTTGGATGGCCCTGGAATTCTCCACATGTAGCACATGGCCCAAAAGGCACAGTGTTTTTTTCCTTCACCTGAGCTACACAAACTCTCTGGGTACAAACCCAGCAGACGTCACCCACCTCAGAAAAAGCCACTTCCACATGATTAGGAAGACGAATAGCCAAAGAAATCAAAAGATAAATGCAAAAATAACCACAGTAGCTTTTTCCCATACTCCAGAGAGACATTCATAGACGTTCACTTAGCGTGCTTCTGAGCACAGGGATTTATTAGCCAGAAGCAGGTTGAAAGCAAAACCAAAATGTCACCAACCTTCAAACAAAACAAAAAGGCAGCTCTTGAATTACAAGCTTCCTGCAATGGCAAGTAAGTGTTCTAAATAAAACTTGACTGTGTCAGGCTGCATTTCCACAAGCAATTGAGCTAGTCAGGAGACTTCTTGTTTCCCTTCCTTTGCAAGGACCCTGGTCCTTGTCAGGCCTCCTACAAGCGACTTCCCCAACTTTCTGTCAGACTGGTGTGTTGAATCAGCCCTGAAAAGGGTCTTGCACAGCCCAGGTAGGAGGAATGGTGATGGGAGCTCCTCCTTCCAGCAGCAACGATCTTCACCACCACCAAAAGAACCCACGACCTAACGGAGGATCAGTGTAGACACTTGTAACATGGAACTATGGACCCCTGGGTGCAGCGGGTATCCAGGCGGCCAAAGACAGCTGAGGACGGTGGCCATGCTTTATTTAAACCATGGCCAAGGCTTTTTCCAGCAGAACCAGGTGGATCAAACACCTTCAGCCTTCAGCACGCTGGAAAGGCCTGGAGGAACAAGCAACCCTGGTTGAGTGCAGCTGCAGCCCCAAGCATACCGTGTCCTCCACAGGCTCTGGCATCCTGCCGAGCGAGCAGCGCCAACCTGCGCTCCCGCGCTCGCTCATCGTCCCCAGGCAGGAATTCTCTCCCTGCTCCCGGCTACAGCCCCGCTCCTCCGGGATCCCCGACACGCGCCCGCAGGACCATGCCGCGCCCG